TCCATGACCTTCTATTTTGTACTTTTAGATTTCATTTCATTTCTATTACTTGAGTTGTCAAGGTAGGGGGGTTGGAACTAGATGATCTTTAGGGTCCCTTCCAACCCTAACCATTCTATGATTCTATGAAGGTCTTCCAATTCTGCCTGCTTGGTATTCCAACCCTTTGCAGTATTGGTCACATTTTCCAACTCTCTGCTGTCAAGTTTCACTGCCATACTTCTGATTTGGGGCTAAACATATCAAAGAAAGGTAAGTGCAACGAGGGTAAAAGCAGTTCAGATGTGTGAAGAGCCAGCCCAAAGTCCAACAATTGATCAGTGGCAAAAATGGATCAATACAGGTCCCCCAGTTCCTAGCCCTGTATTTGCTTTATCACCTAGCACAGCACTCATAAGCTCAGAAAGGTGAAGTATATGAATAACTAACAAAATTGTCTCTTCAGTGGATCATGTCAGGGGATGGTAGACTATGACCAACCTGGAAAATCCAATATCTAATCTAATCTACTTATATATAACTATCAGCAGCATGAAGTTGTAGGTAACTATTTACCCACAATAAGGCTGAAAAATGTGTACACAGAGATAATGGCATTTCATGCCTTGCTCCTTAGACATGCACAGCCTCAAAGCATCTCCAGGCTTGGGGGTTTTAACATGATAGCCTGAACTGAAACTCTGTAAGCAATAAAATTTAGAGAAACAGCTTAGTTAATGCTCAGAACATGGTCTGGCAGCCTGCCATGCATAAACATGCACTGAAACTAGAGTTCATGCCAAGATTCTTAGCCTTATACTTCATAGAAATTCCTTGTATGGTTTCTACTAGATCCTCTAAGTTCATTTAACTTTTTGCTTCCTTTCCACAGTTTAATCCCTAGCTAGTTGAACTTACTATCTTTTTTTATATAAGCATTAATAATGTAATAGACATAACTCCAAGCAGAAGTAATAGAATCAGTCTGTTCATATAATTTTGATTAAAGATAGGCCTAACACTAAGAGAACACTTAGTCTATGCCTTCTGTGCCCAGCCTCTATGAACACAATGAGATGCTGCAGTGCGACCTAGTACAATAACACGTATGGCTAGTCACATAATAAATGCTTTCTAAGACTCATAAGAATTCACTTCACACTCCAGTGTCAAACCTATGCTCGAGCTCTTCTTAAGGCAATGGATCTCTTGACAGATTTTATCGAAAGATCGAGTCCTTAACATTTGTTTTCATAATATCAAAAGGTCTAATTTGACTCTCATATCCCTGATGTCTACTTTTCCAAGCTTCAAATCTGTACAAAAGAAACAGCTGAAGTTACTTCTTACAGACTCCAGCTTGCTTACTTCCCCCCCCCCAGTAATAATTATATTAATTTAGTTTTTATGTTTTGGATACTTACTAAACTAGAGCTACCCAGTTATTTAAGTATGTATCAAGCCACATTCAATATATGCATTAGGGGAATAATAAATTCCATATTACCACAGATCCTGAGCTCTGTCCTTTCTTTTTTACAACTTCAACATACAGTTGTGAAGATGAAAAACACTATTATCCCCAGCTATAAAATGGGATTTAAGACAGACCTAAGATTTTGTCACTGATAACATAGAAAGCCCATAGCAGAAAAGGAAAAAGGGATGGAAGACAAATGGGAATATCAAATTCAGATTATACTGAAAGCTGATTTATCCATCAGATGTTACACCATTATTCATACTGGACAGCTGGACAACATACAAGATTTTCAACAGCATGTGCTTCACAACAAATCAGTCACACACACATCTTGCTGTTCATTTACAGACTCTACTTGTTTTTCAAAAATGAAGCACTTGAATATCACACAAATTGTGTTCAAACAATGTGAAAAGATTGTGTTGTAAAGTATTTTTTTAACCAGAACCCTTGAGGCCTTTTGAAAATGTTGACAAGTCATCATTTCCCACCATTAAATTCAGTCAGACTTAAAAATTTAGCCTGATTACTTGGATGTAATGCAGACATCAAATGAGGTGTACTTCTGTGCTCTCTTTTCACAGAAGAGAAATGACTGCTGGGCCATTAAATGCAACTACCATGCTGTCTTTGCCCAAAAGAAATATGGGTCGTAATAAAAATAACAATCAATAGCTGTCTTCTCAAATCAGGCCATATTGGGCCATAGCTCAAAAAGGCTGACCAGATTTTGAAAAGAATAACTGAAGAAGCTGAGAGAAACACAATTAAAAATTTTATATTCAATTATATATCATCTGTAAGAAAACCATCCAGTACTGCAACATTATGACAGATTTATATGTACATATGTGTGCGCAGATGTTTGCTGCATGCACATGCAGAGTGTAAAGTGGCCACACCCAAAGCAATCAAAGCTCAGCTTCATACATGCAGCCTTTCTCCTGCTGTACATAAGGACACAGTTATGTAACTATTTGTGCAATTTTATTTATATAACAAAATTCAGAAAACTACTAAAGGTAATGAAAATAGTTACTGCAGCCTTGCTTCTGCTAATTTACAGGGTATGAACTAGGCCTTCTGCTCCTGTAATAGTTGTAGTGTCAGACCCAGGAAGGTTTCAACTGAAACACCGCTTCTATACTCCAGTCTTCCCTTGCAAAGCCCACATCGAGGACCTTGTCTAGTAGGGATATACAGTTACAGTTTGTGAACAAAGGGAAGACAGGAAAATAGTTTCCCTGCAATTCAACAATTATGAATGAAATGCTAATCTACCACATACATGACAGTTAGTACTGTTACATTGCATCTCACCAGGCAGTTTTTTCACAAGTGTTTTAACAATCTGTCCCTGATACCACAGCCATGAAGCAAGGACCAGATTTCTCCTAACGATATCTCTGCATGCAAGAATGGTGCTGTCCCTACTATACCTACTACATTGGCAGCAACTCTACTGATGCAGATCTTCATGTGTGGACACAGAACCTCTCACAGAAGATTATGATGTAGTAAATCACTTTGGTTGAAGAGTTATAAGGTTATAAAGAGCTTAATTGCACACACAAGCTCTTGGTATTTTCTTTTTGGAAAAAGCTTAGTAAAGGATGGTCAGTAGTCTGTGTTAATTTTCCACATAAAAGATTTCATGGATAATAATACACATTCATAACATGCTACTTTTGAAATAATTAAATAGAACCATGAAGACAGCTGTGTTGAAAGATACCTAAAACTTTGCATGAACTTTTACTATTTGCTTTTGCTTGGCAGAGGAGACTCCAGCTTGCTTACTTCCCCCCCCCCGGTTTTTTTTTTTGTTTGTTTGTTTGTTTTTGTTTTTTTTTTTCCATAAAATGACTCTTCCTGTAGAAGAGTTTTGAGGCTTTACAGTTTTTGTTAGCATTTTCAGAAAGCCTAAAAAAGCATTTTCTGTTGTGAAACCTTAAAACATGAAGGAGGTAATTTTCACTAACACCTTCCACAGGAAGAGTAAGAGGAATAATTTCTCTGACAGCTACACTTGTGAGATTGGGGAAAAGGGAGGAGAAGTTGCAAGGACACCAGGCTTAAAAAAAAAAAAAAGCAACCAAACCAACACTGCATAAAATGAAATAAAAACTTTAAGGTTAAGAAGTGTGGCTAATACAAGGTCTCAGTTTGGAAGGAGACTGTTGAAAGCTATCTCTTGCTATAAATCTGCCCCTAGTTAAAAACAGGTTTGGATTGATTTATCAGTCCTTCATTCAATTTACCATTTTTAAATGCTGCAGAATTCTCACATCAAGTAGGACATAGAAATTAGAAATTAGCAAGTGAAATCCTAAACCTGTGTTCCTCAGGAGAATAAACTAGATACTAACAGGGATTCCCTTGGAGCCTGGTTAAAAAAAAAAAAAAAATCTAGGAATCCATATTAACTGTCCCCTTAGTGAAATACCAGTTACTGTACAAGCATAGGCTTTCCAGGCATCTAATACGCGAGAACTTTAACAGTCCCCCTAGGTGGATGTCATCACAGTGACTGCACACAGATATACATTCTGACACTGGTAAGGACATACTTTGATATACTGAGATTCAGAGCAGCTTGATGTCTGAGAACCAGAGATGACCACAGCTACAGAAAAATGTAGAGAGAACACACTAGGCAGAGACAGGTCACATTTAACTGTAACACTTTGACTTCCTCTTTGTAAAGAAAGATACAATGTTAAAACCACAAGTATAAACACATTGCATCAAAGGTTAACTTGTTAACATATGTGTATAAAACACTAGAAGTTCCTAAACAAACAAACCAGCCTTACAGAATAGTACTAGCAGAACTGCTAGCCAGCTCTGCTCTTCCCTTTTCTGGAGTCACACCGTATCCAGAGCGCAAAAATCCCATCCAATACAAAACATAACCTCAATGTGCTCACGATCAACAGTAACAGCAATGTTTTCCTTATCCAGCCTTGGGCAGACTGGAGCAAGGTTTTCTGTGTGTACCCCTTTACAGCATACAGACAACAGAAGCAAAAGGTAAATATTACATTTACCGTAAGTGTTGCACTTCCCTTTCTAGAGTCATTGACTTAATACACACAGTTGTAGGGGAATTAATACACACAACTCGGGGAATACAAGAATTAATTTTAAGCTTAAGAAAATTGGTGTTTTGTACAGATACAGGCCATAACACATGTTGAAGTTAACCCTATTTTCCAGACTGAGAAAAACCTGAGTCAAAGAACTGCTTCTTCCAACCCTATACCAGCAGCAAAGATCTCCCTGAGCAGAATTGACAACAAAGTGTTTTCCACCTAATCTGCAGGCAAAAAAGCTTCCCTGTTTACCACCTTGTGGCTTGAACCGGTAAATATTCCCTACTTACACACACCCCGTTTTCAGCATTTTACAGTTAACTAGCTTCTAACGCAGCAGGCACAGCAACTTCACTCAAAGTTCCTCCCCAAAGAAAAATTGAAGACCATATGCTTTCAGCGAGACTGACACCGAGCCCAAGCTGCCCCGATCGATGGGGTAATCAAGAATGCCAGGACTGTCGGCCCGGTTTCCAAACAGCTCTGAACATCATACAAGCAGCAACCGGTTGCCCAAGCTGCATCTCCCTTCTAGCCACAGCTTCTACAAGCCAGCAGCCACCCGCTGAAAGGATGCTACGGTCAAATGGAACGAACAAGAAGTATGCGGTAAACGAGGAAGTACTCACATCCCGGAATTTGTTCCAGTACTTGTCTTTATCATACTGAGAAACGGTGCTCAGCCATTTGTCGTTGTCCAGGAAATTGCCATGATTGCTGTTACTCGTGATGATTTCAGGATGCCGGCTCTCCACTTGCAGGAAGCACCAGGCAACGATTACCAGCACCCCCGACATCTGCAAGGAGAGGAGGGGAGCGGAGAGGTGGCCGCGGCTTCTCGGGCGGGGAAGTTTAGGGGGACCCAAGTTGGGGTTTGTCTCCCCTCTACGCCCCTCGCCAACTTCTGGCTGCGGAGCTGCCAGGTCCGCTGAGACCCCCCCTGCCCGCCCAGCCTGGAGGGGCGGGGAGCAACAACGAGAGCAATAATCATTACAATAAAACGGATCACCTGGGACCGAGCAGAGACCCGCCAGCGGAAAACAGCCCTACCAACCC